GAAGATCTTTTTTTTATTACATAAAAATGTATTAATGCATGTTAAATATCAAAAATAAGTAATACGTCACATGATTACTAAATATTTTGATATGTCTTTGAATAATATCCATATTGCTTATACTTTTCATATTTCTAATCTTTTATTTCATTTTCTATAGCATTTAACTCTTCAGTATCCTCCTTTACATTAACTTGTGTACTATTCTTTAACACCTATTTTCCTTTAGATGAAAATTGTTCAACATTTGCTTTAAATCTTTTTGGAGATCGTCCTTTATATCTGATAATAGTAGAATTATTAATATCAGCTAAGTTTCCTAAGTTTTCTATTTTTTGGTTATTAATTTTATATTGAATGTTGTAAATAAAAGTCTTAATCATATCTGATAATTTCTTTTGCATATTATTTTTAATAGCATAATTGATAGCCTTCTTTGAGATTTTAGATAACTTCACGTATATCATTTTAGTTGATTTTACAGGTAATAGAGTACTATCTGAATAATTTTGAATTAAAAGAAATTGATTAAAACTAATTCTTTATAGCATAGGGATTTGCATGATATTTTTATTAGAGAATTAGAAAGACCAGAATTTATCTCTATATCTTTAGAATTTAATTGATATTTTTTATATATTGTAACTCAATTTTATTTTGATTGAAATAAATATAACAGGTAATAAAATAACTCTTAATTTTTTATTTTTTATATTGTTAAGTATTAGTTATTTATTACAAAATTAGAGATATCATCAGATATCATAGTGTAGCTGTAATCTTGATGATATCAGCGATTAAATAGTAAATAACTAATACATATTTAATTAAATTAATTAATTAAAATCATGTGATTGACCAAAATCTGTCTATTTAGAATTAGTTTTAATTTTAGACAAGTTTTAGACAGGGTTTTGAATATTTATCCAAAACTTTGATTTTTCTAATTGCCCAATATTGATTTAAACTATTAATTTTAAATTTCATTATAAAATAATTTTCTTAAATGATAAACTATCTAAAATCTATTTTTTGAAACAATTAAATTAAAAAGTTCTAAAATAATAAAATGATATAATTGCATTTAACTTTTACTACAATACTTATTTCACTCAAAACCAAACCTTTACCTTCAAAATTCCCAAAAAACTACTATTATACAAAATGTATATTTATAATTATTATTATCTTTATAGAAATTAGTAGCATCTTATCTTATTAAATTTAATTTATCATTTTCTTCTGATATACTTAAATTTATAATAAAACTTTAAAAAATGATAAATTAGTTTTAATATCTGAAAAATCTATATTAAAATTATCATACAATTCAGAAAAATAAATTTTAATTAAATTTTTAATTAAATATTCTAAATCTATAATTAATAGAAATAATATTTTGTTTAAATGAAAAAAAATTTCAAATGTTTTTTCAGATTTTAATATTTCTCAAAATATTTTTTTTTAATATTTATCATTCCTCTTAATGTTATACAACCTCTATATATTATATTTATATGATATGAATTTTCATCATTGAAAATAAATCTTTAATTATATTTTTAAAATTATTTATAATATAATTAAATTTAGTATTAAGTTTTTCAAATATTTGTTTTCTTTTATCTGAAAAATAACTTTTTTTATCAAAAAAGTTTTTGATAATTAAACTTAACATATATAATTCATTATTTATAAATTGATAAATAAAACAATTTTTTGTGTTATTATTTATCTTAAAATAATTATTAATAGGATATTTTTTAATATTATTATTATATTCTGAAATTAAATTTTATAATCTTTTTATATTATTTTCAATGTTTAAAGGAATTACAAAACTAATATCTAATTCTTTAATATTTTTGTTCATATTTTTTTTTATTATTTTTGATTATTTTTTATTTGTAATAACAGATGTAAAGGTAGAAATAGATGTAGAAATAAAAGTAATATTTAAGGTAAAGGTAGATATAAAGGTATAGTTAAAGGTAGAGGCAAATGCAAAAGTAGAGATAGAGACAAAAATAGAAGTAAAAAGCTTATTTAAATTACTATTATTTACACAAAGTTATTATTTTTATTTGTTTATTAAGTAAAGAATCTGTTAAAAAATATAAATGATTGGAATTACTCTTACTTTTGTTAAAGTTAATAAAGATTTATTTTTTAATTCTAATTAATTGAATAGTCATAATATTAGTTTTTTTTTTAAAAAAAAATATAAATTTACAGCTTTATTTCACTATAAATTGTATTAAGAAAAGAAAAAAATAAAAAATATAAAATACAGCTTTATCTTATTGAAAATTACATCTATTTATATAAAAAAAAACTTGCATAAGAGAAATAATTTAGCTCCAAAACTATATAAAGATTATACCTATACTTTAGATTCTATTTAAATAAATTATGAATTAAAAGTCTTTAAATAAAATTTTTTGAAAAAATTGATTTTACTATTTTAATATAATAATTTATAAATACCTTACTGAACTGATATTGCAACTACCTAAAATTCAAAAAAAGAAATTAGTAATCTCTAACATTCTTACTGAACTGATATTATGGTAACCTAAAATTCTAAAAAAATTAATTAGTAATTTCTAAATGCCTTTACTAAACTAATACCATAACAGCCTAAAATTCTAAAAAAAAAAATAATCAGTTATCTAAAAAATATATAAATTAATTATTTAATAGATTAATCTGATATTATATAAGCAAACTTTATTTTTAAAGATAAACAAATGAGTTTGTCTTAAATTAATTAATTAATCAATTGATTTATTTTTTTTTTTTTTTTTTTTTCTTTTCCTTTTAATCTATTTTTTCATTATTCCCCCTTCTCCTATCAATTGATTCTTTTTTTTTATATTTTTATAAATTTTTATTATATTTTTGATTTCATATTTTTTTGATTTCTTCACCTCTTTTTCCAACTTTTTATTTTATTTTATTTTTATTTTTTTACTTATTCTTCGAAATATTTTTTTGAAATTTTTTTTATTTTTATTCTTTTATTTATTTTTTATCATTTATTTTAATTTTTAATTTTTTTTAATATTTTTTCTTAAATTTTTTTAATTTATTTTATTTATTCTATTTATAAATTTTTTTTATTTTATTTTATTTTTTAAAATTAGCCTTATTTGAATCTTTGAAATTTATCGGTAAGTGAATTAATTTCTTCTTTTTAAATTAGATGGATTTCTTTAAAAACATTTACTAATATTTTTTTTCTTCTCTTTTTTAGAACTGGTTTTATTTGGATTTTGGAATCTTACTAATAAGTGAATTAATTTCTTTTTAGATTAGATGCACTTCTTTAAAAACATTTACTAACATTCTTTTTTCTTCTCTTTTTTAGAATCTGCTTTTTTTTAGATTACTAGTAAGTGAATTAAATTCTTCTTAGATAAGTTTTTTTAATTTAATAATGTTAATTTTTTTTTTTAAAAACTGGCTTTCTTTGAATCTTAAGAATCTATCAATATGTGAATTCCTTTTTTTTAGATTAGGTGAGCTTCTTTGAAAATATTTACTAACATTTTTTTTCTTTTCTTTTTTAAGACTGACTTTCTTTAGATCTTTAGAATCAACCAGTAAGTAAATTCCTTTTTAAAATAGGTGGACTTCTTTGAAAACATTTACTAATATTTTTTTTTCTTCTCTTTTTTAAAACTAACTTTTTTTGGATCTTGAAAACTAACCAATAAGTGAATTCTTTTTCTTAGAATAAATGAACTTCTTTAAGAATATTTACTATTATTCTCTTTTCTTCTTTTATTATAACTGATTTTTTTTAGATCTTAAAAATTATTTAGTAAGTTAAATTTCTCCTTCTTAGAATAGATGAGATTCTTTGAGAATGTTTACTAATGTTCTTTTTTTCTCTTTTTTAGGATCAACCTTTTTTGAACCTTAGAAATTTACCAGTAAGTTAAATTTCTTTTTTTAGAATGTATAGGCTTCTTTGAAAATATTTACTAACATCTTTACTAATATTATAGCAGTCTAAAATTCTAAAAATAATTAGTAATCTCTAAATATTTTTACTAATCTGATATCATAGTAGTCTAAAAATAAAGAAAATATTAGTAATCTAAACGTTTTTACTGATATTGTAGTAGTTCATAAAAAAAATATATAATTTAATTAATTAAATACTTAGCTAAAAAAATTAGATTTAAGTTTAACAGATTATTCTAATATTATATAAGCAATTCTTATTTTTAATTTTTTGATATAATATTACTCAGATTGATTAATATGATTAACTTGCATAATTAACATACATAAATATAAATCTTTTCATCTGATTGATGCAATTAGTATACTTTGCTATCATCTTAAAATTTTCTTAATGCATTGTACAATATTTGTATAAGTTATTATACAAAACATTTAAGTATTAAGATGTATAATGCAATATATTTAACAACATATTGTGAAATATGAATTATTTTTTAAATGCTTATACAATATATATCTATAATGTATTGTTACAAACAATTTTACTTTTTTAAAAATATATTTTTTATTTATACATTTTAAGATATATATTACATTTACTTGTACCTTAAATCACTAAATTTAATATATATTTAATGTATATTGCAACTATTCGTATTATATAATATAATAAATATATAGGAGGCAGTCAATAGAAAAGGGGAAAATCTACAAATTTTGAGTAATTTTAGTTATTAAGTTAGTTTTGTTCACATGACCATGCTTGGCAGAGTGAACCAATAAAAAAATTTTTAACTAAAAAGTAGATTTCCCCCTTTTCTATTGACCGCCTCCCATATATTAATAAAATTTATATGAAAACTCATTTTACAAATACTTTTAACAATCAATTTATGTTAACATAAAATAGCAACTTGTGTTTTGATTACAATGACCCATAATTGATTTAATCGTAATATTTACTATATTAAGCAATATGTATTACTATCTGCTATATTAAGCAATTATACTATAACCTTTGTTCATTATTTTCTTCTAAAATTCCTATTGTATTCACGTCCATTTTCACGTCTACATTTACGACCATGCCTTTGTTTATTTGAAGAATCATTTAATAAATTTGCATCAATTTCATTTGCGAGGTTTGTTGAATTATTATGAGGGAGTTGAAGTTCACATGTTATATAATTTAACAATTTGACTTTATTTAGTGCCGATGCATTAGTAAAGTGAGGATCGTTATTGCATTTAAAGACATTAATGATATGTATTCTTATTGCTGCAGCAATGAAATATCTAAAAACATCGACACTGTTAGTGTCATTTTTTCACCATTCATTAGTGACTTGGCCTATAGGGGCTCTGAGATAGTCAGAGATAACAGTATTGTTTACAAATGAAGCCAAGCTTTCAATTCTTGGTAAGTTATCGATAGTAATACTAAAAAAATAAATGGTTAATTATAAAATAAAAATAAAAAAGATTCAGCTACAAGATTATTTACCTGTTATTTTTGATGTAATCTTCAGTATAGGCTCTGGATTCTGAATTCAAACGTGACCGGTAATCCACATTATATGCATTTAATTTTGTTTTGAGAAAGGTTATCATCCTACTAGTATTACTAAAACCTGGGGTGATTGATTTTACTAATGCATCGATAGCATCTTGCATAAGATTACGTGATCTCAAAAATAATATCTTTGTTTCATTGACTAGAATCGCTAATATATCTGGTGTTACCTATAAATAAAAAACAAATACAATAAATAAATATAATAATAATTAAAGAACGGTAAATAATAAATTATACATACATAATTTACTGAATTATCATTTTGAATGATCTGATTGTTTAAAACTGATTGAATGTTGCTTAGTGCCAGTTGAATATTGCTTGGCGATTCTTCTTATTCTTTTTGGGGAATTACTGAAGGTTTGTAACATAAAATAAATTTTGGTTTATTGTTTAAAGGTTTGCCAGATTGTGGTATATTTGGGTTTAAATCTTTTATAGAATTATTAATATTTTGATGGGTATCGGGATGATCATCTACAAAATCATCTATATAATGGTTGACAAGATAGTAATTAATTATTATTTACGCTTATAGATTTTTAAATACTAAAATTTCAAATAATGACTTACTGACATCATCAACACAAGATTTTTTGTTAATAGAATAAGATTCTTCTATATCATTCATTATAAAAGAAGATTCTCGTATATCTTGATTATTATTTACACTTTTGAAACCTTTACTATAAGTCGTGATAGAAGAAATTCACTCTTGATTATCAACTGCACTCTGATTTCTTACTTGGTTTGTGTTTGCAACAGTAGCATCTGTTATTTGATTTGCAGATTGATGAGTAATAACAACTGAAATATCAGACGGATCTTGATCACAAATAATAGATTGATCTCAATTACAAATTTTAACAGAAGAACCTCGATCACTGGATTGATCTCGATCACAAATTTTAACAGAAGAACCTTGATCACTAGTTTTATTAGAAGAGTAAGTATTATCTTGATCATAATCATCATCTTCATAATCGTCATCCTTGTACTCATCATCATCATATTGTTTCATAGATCTTGCAAAATGACGACTACCTTGAGAATGAACGCTACCTCTAATGCTTACAGACCGCCCATCTTTAGAACTTGTAAACCGACCACCTCTAGAACGTTCATTTGCTCTCTCACAAGGCATAATTAATAAATTATATTGTTTTTTAAGAAAATTTATTTAAGGAAAAAAGAAATCTTAAGAAAATTTATTTAAGAAAAAAAAAGAAATTCAGAAAATTTCCATTAAATAACTCCACATCATTACAAATGTTCAATTAAATTCAACAATTAATTAATTAAATATTATGATAATATCAGTGATGATTACTAATTAGTAGTTACGTTAACAAAGTATATCAGATGGAGACTTTTTTTAATTAATACTAATTTGATTAACTTTGATTTTTTTTCTTAAAAACAAAAAATTCTTTTTTAATTTTTTCCTTAAAACCTAAAAAATCAATGATGCCAAAAAGGCTACTTTTGACCATATATATCCTACCCTTCATGATCCAATTAATACACAAAAAAGCAAAAGATCTCATTACGAGAAAGACTTTTTTCATCCATATCAAATATAAAACCTTTAAGGACCGTTGTAACTCCAAATATTTCTAATTAAGATATGGCCCCAAAATACATCTGTAATACCTTTGATACTTTAGATAATAATAGAAATGACTTTGTTAGAATGTTAAAACAGAAGATACAATAGATAATCTGTAAAATTTTAACTTTAACGATGATTTTTCTTTTTTACCATTAAGACTGACTTTACCGGCTATTTCTATATTTAATAGCGACGATGATGAATATAATAATGATTTTGCGCAAAATATAGATAACAGAAAAAAAAATATGATATTAATACTGAATTACCAGGGTATATATGTGATAGCGGTTCTTATTTTTCAAGTCTTACAATAATGTAGATATTTATATAGTTTACAAAAAATAATGTAATATTCAATATTCTGGGTGTTAAGTATTCAACCAATAATTTACAGGAAATTTAAATTTTTTAGGTACCAATACTTATCAAGATCTTGTTAAAATTATATATCATCCAAAATTTAAAGCAGATCAGGTTCCTTATAGTGTAATGACTATTAAGAAGATTCGCAAGAGGTTGCCTTTACTGCTAATTACGGGAAAATTTGTTTTAATTAATTTGAAAGATACTTCATCAAAAACTTTACTATCAAAAGAAGCGTATACCTTTTCAATTAAGGATCATATCCATTGTATAATTAATATTATAATATTAATGCCAAAAATGTATTTTAGACCTAGCATCGAGAAAGAAAAAAATATTGAAATATGGCACAGAGATTTATAAAAAGAATCTCTGTTGTTTGGTAAAACAACGGTTACAATAAAAAATGGTCAGTAAATTAATTAACTTTATTGTAAAAGTAAAATTTAATAATAACACAAAAATTTAATTATTGAATTAAAGTTACATTTAGCTCGAATGATTGGATATTATATAAGAAATTGTAAGATCAAAATTGTCACATGAGCAGGATCACTGGGATTGTAGTAATGAATAAAATGTTATCTGAATGCCAGCTTCGTATACAATCCACAAGAAACTTTAATGAACTACCCAGTAATATTAAAAGTAAAGAACGAAACTAAAGATTAAAGAATGATAGCGAATTATGGTTAGAAAAAATAAGAATTATAATTAAGACCCAAGACGTAATTCATCATATTAACGTTTGAATCAAAGATAGTAACACTCCATGTTTACTAGCCTTTAACTTTTCGATTCAGGAGATTATAAATACGCTTAATGGTCATCAAAAATTCAGACAAATTTCTCTTCAACGCAAATTACCTATAGAGTATGTTAATGTATCACAATTACCGCCAGATCTAAATATGAAATATCTTAAGTTTTTTATAGACTTGTATTACAATGATTTTAGTACTTTTAATAGGGTATATCACAAATTAGGGGAATTTATATACAAATCGGCAGCATGAAATGTGAAATTGAGGAATCATTTTCTTATTTCATTTGTACTATTTGGAGGAGAATTTAATGATGTATTAGAAGAATTTATTTCAGATATGAAAGAGTTGCAAAGTAGGGTTCTTATGATAACTAGAAATAAATAAGTATGAGTATCAGCAGGACTTGGAATGGTTACAGTGGACCTCCTGCAGAAGAATGATATGAATAGCATAAAAAGACATAATGCAGAATATAGATATCGCACTTGCAAGGTCCTTTAAAACTGATTGTCTGACATTGATTTTGACATATTTCAAAATGGCCATTACCATTATTTGACAAATAAGATTTTTGATAAAATTAAAGCTTCACAGAATATTATAACAAGGAAATGCATTACGCAAGAATACAGGGTATGCCTAATTCCAAATATTGTTTTTGTGATCATCATTTGCAGACGTCTCAAGACCTTTTCTATTACCTAGTGGGATTAGCTTGTCGATTTTTTGATCATTTGTTTAAATATGAACTAGAAAAATCTGGGCTTGATGCATTTCATAATGAATGGAAATCTTTTGAAATACCAAATAGTTGGAAGTGCCTCCAAAGTCTTATTATCCATTTTGAATCTTACTGGATGAGCGATTCACCAAGACTGGTTATGATTATACCTTTTATTCTATCATGATGTTTAATCCCTGCACATTTTAAACAAAGTTTTTCTGAATATATTAAAAATGAGTATTTATTAATAAATATAAGACAGGTAAAAGCTATAAAAGTCGAAGCTTGAAGTTTATTTGCTAAATTCTATGCAAAAGTATTTGATAATGAATTCTGTAAATCTGATTACCAAACATTGGATTAATTGTTAGAAAAATTGATCAAAACGTTGAATAAGGTGATAAATTATTAATTATTTAAATTTCTGTTAATAGTATATATTTACTGCTTAATTTATTCTTATTTTTTAAATTAATCCAGACGTAATAAGTAATTTACCAAATATTCATATTTTGAGGTATTTACTATCAATCGCGATGACATTCAAAACATTATAAATTATTTCTGTATCACTTAAAGAAATGATGCACAGTATGTACAAGAGGCGATTCTACATACTAACAAAAAGAATGTGGAATTTGATCTTATTAAACGGGATAATATATTGCAAGGAATTCATAATATAATAGATAATGGTTACGATCAAAGAGTTCCTGGGGGTACTAGTAATAATTATACAAGATCAATTATGAAAGACAACAAATTAATATGCTTGTTAGAAGAATGGTACATATCTGTTCTGGCTCATCATATAAGAAATATGGATGACATGTATAAACAAGAACAAACCAATGGTCAGAATCAACAAACATTGCTCTTTAAACTTCAATTTCGATATTAATTGTAAAATTATATTTTTAGTAATTGAGCTGCCTCAAGAATGTTTTTTTAACATTCATGTATACAAGAAATAGAATATTAGAAGAATTGAAAAGGAAGGTTTTGTAAAAAAGCTTAGCAATGGTACTCATATGCAGAGATGCTTATATAAAGCTTA